GAATTCCAGGACAATGGCAGCTTTTTTTCTCCTATAAAAGCGATAGGTCTCACAAAAAGCTTTATAAATTTTTGTAGTAAGCTAGCTTTGGTTCGTACCTGTTTTTTTCTTTTAATTTGGGAATTGGGGTGGGGGTGGGGGTGGGGATGGGGAGTGTGGGTAGGCTAATCATTAGCTAGTTGTCTTTTACTCCCTTCATTTACTTTTATCTTTTCGCGTTATGTTTCACTTTGAAAGTCAAACTACGTAAATTTTCACCAACGTTTTAACATGTATTTTTTTACCATATTAATATGAAAAAAATTAAAAATTATAATACTTTTCGTATAATTATCGAATATATAAATTTTAATTTTAAAATATTAAGAGAATCCAATGCAATTTAGCTTCAAAAATTAGTTAGATTGACTCTAAAAAGCGAAACGTTATAATTTAAACTGAACGGAGGGAGTAGCTTGTACAAGGACTCCACAGAAAAATTTACAAAGAATTTAAGCTAAATTTCATCATTATCTTTTGAATTTGTTGCGCACATTCTTTCATGTATTCATTTCCCAAACAGGCCAAGACTCTAGGCAATTACAAAATAAAGAAGGTAAAACCCAAATTGTTGGAAACGAAGGGTTAAAAATAATAGAAATGTAAAACTATCTAAAGTTAGACAGACCACCTTAACTAACAATTTCAGTGGCTTGTCTTTAGAGATGAAATCTCAAAAATTAAAAACTAAAATCAAAATGTGATTTTCTCGTAACCACCACTCTCAAAAGAAGAAAAAAATTAAAGTGGGTTTATTTATGATTGCCTAAGATTGGGTTAAAACTTAAAAAGCCCAAACACCACCTTGTGTCATATGATCCAAAGCTTCTTCAGCCTTTCCCTCATAGTGGGGCCCATGAAACAGTCCATTTTTTGGCTCTTGTAGTCAATCATAATAGGGGCCCACCTTTGCCTAACTTTCAAGAGTAGCCTTCATTTAATTTTACTTATTTGAAGACAAGATTTTAATATCCTAATACAATTTGTACGAACTAGGGTTATGGACTTATGGTCACTGTCTTCAGCAATTCATATTGATATTAATTGGCAGTGGGAATAGTAAATTAACAGTGAGAAAGACAAAGAAACAATTCTGAGGGGTCACTCTTTCATGACATATCCTAATTACTCCAAAAATCTATTACCTGCCAGTTGCAGGAGGAAATTAAGAAGAAACAAAACGAGAAAAGAAGTACTCCCACTTCCACTTCACAAAGACACTTTTATATTATTATTAGTATTAATTTTTTTTTTTCATTTTACGATTATTGACATGCTATAGTTATAGAAATATCATGATATGTTTAAGATTATTGGCTCTAAATATATTTATAATATATGCCAAAAGTATTTCCTCAACTCCGTATTAAATCAAATACAACAATAACAATCCCCAGTGGAATCTCATAAGTGGGGTCTGGGGAGGGTACTGTATACGCAGACCTTAATCCAACCTATGAAAGTAGAGAGGCTATTTCCGAAAGATATTCCTCGGCTCAAGAACGTTAATAATGGAAAACAATAGTAACAACAATGTAATAAGACAATGCAAGCAAATATTACAACGAATAATGACAGAGATACAAGGGTATGAAACTATAAGAATAGTGCCAATCCTACTGCCAATACTTACATACCGTATAGAAACAAGGGACTATGAATAGGAAGGTACCCGGCATACCGTATAGAAACAAGGGACTAGTACTACTACTGTTACTGGTAAGACAAGGCAAAACTTTACATTGTCTATCAACTAACTATCTTAATTTTCGACCTTCACACCTTTCTATCGAGGGTCATGTCCCCCGTAAGTTGGAGCAGAGTCATATCCTGCCTAATCACCTTATCCCAGTTCTTCTTAGGCTTCCGTCTACCTCTTCTCTGACTCGCCACGGACAACCTCTTCCACCTCCCGTATTAAATCAAATATTGCCATGTAAAATGAAGAGAGAGTATTGAATTTCACGAAGAGCATTTTAAATTTTGGTGGTCAATATAATCAATGCACCTAGCTATAGGATAAGAAGTTCCTTTGGACTTGTTAACATCCCCACGACATCCGTACTACAATTATAGGAGACAAATTCAAGTACGTGAATGCATGAAACTTAGTGGAGTAAAAATTTATGTCCTAAAATATTTTACAGAGTTTTGTGAGCCAATTAATTATCTGGAGACTGGACTAACAAAGAATTCAGATCTTATAGACTGAGCTGTGATGTAGCTAGTTGAAAATTCATCATTTATCTTCCTGCTACCAAACCGGCCCGTACAATAAATATAGGAAAGTATTGATACCAATGCATTTTATTACTTGAAAATGACATTTCTTGATTTGCCCAGTAGATGGGGACACTAGCTCTTACCATAAACAAACAAAGGTGGCAAAAAATCCTTTCTTCTTTTAAGGGGAAAAGAGAAATTTCCCAAGCATTTTGAGTGTTACTATTTCAACAAATGACTCTGACATATCACCTTATTGTAAAGGCAGAATTGCTCTGCAAAATAAAAAATAGAAATAAAATTAGTAAATAAATAATACTAGTGGTGAATATAAGAAAATGAAAATACAAAATACAAAAGAAAGAGATGAAGTTAGGTGAAGGGTGATTGTAGCTTTGTATCTAATTTCTTTGAATTTGAAGAAAAGGTCGAGAAGGTAAGTTGGACAAAATAGGCAACATAACTAACTCAACAGGAACCATATAGCCAAAAAGAAGCCTGAGAAAAGCAGATAGCGAGTGTTGCAGTTGTAGTTGTTTCCCTTCATTTTCCTTACCAAACATTATTGGAAAAAGTTGTTAGCATAGTGTATTTGTAAAATAATTTTGGAAATATAAATGAACATAAACAATAATGAACTACGAAATAATAGAAAACCAATTCGAGCCCACTGAATTCACAGTGTTTCCTTAAGGAATTTAATTCCCTCATAGTACCCAAGGTTATGGATTATTTCCTCCCAGGATAGAATGAATTACACACCGGTGTAGTGATACTTCAAACCTCAGTGTTTCAGCGAACACAAAATTCGGTAGCAAATCACACTTACTGTTACTTTGTTTGATGTTTAAACTATGCAGAAGAAGGAGGAGAAACTCAGAAAATCGTATGGAAATTCTGAGCAGAATAGCCTTGTATTTATAGTCAAAGTTGGGCTGAAATCTGAAGAGGTGCAACTTAAATGCTACAGCATAAATGCTATTACATAAATGCTATTACATAAATGACTATTTACTCAACAATAAAGAGGGAAAATAAAGAGGAAAAATTGAAGAGAGTAGTTAATTTTCTGTTACCAAAACATAAAAAACGGATTGGAGGATTTAATATTAATATTCTGTTATTAAAACAAATATTTAATAACATTTTTGTTAATATTTTACTATTAACAAATAAATTTGGTTCAAAAAGTTAATCAATCAATCATTTATCCAAAGCCGAAGCCGAGCGACAACGATGGCACAAGGCTTGTCTTCTTCTCAACTCTTTAGGAGCTAGAAGAAGAGCAATTGCTTATATATCCATAAAAAACCTCTTCCTCTTCCAATATGGGACAATGTCCATTTGTCAAGGGGGGAAACTTAAAATTTCACTCAAAAATTTCATTTCCCTCTATTTCCCATTCACCCTCTTTTAAGTATTTAATATATTAATTAAATACATAAAAAACCCAACAAAAGTAAAACATTATCTATATATGAATTGCTATAATACTGTGGCAGTTGGACTGATTTTGCTCCGAGGAAAACGCCTAGTGATAACTCTAAAATATGAGAGATTGTAATTGCGTCTAATTAATCAGATGAACTGTAGCTTTCTATCACCATACTGTGTAAAAAATTTAGGAATCTTTTGCATGAGAATTTTTCTACCTTATGATTATTGTATTATATAAAAGTTTCCTCGCTTGTCCGTTTTTACCCTTCTGTAGGTCCGAACATTTGTGGGGCGGGGTGTAAGGGGATACTTTGATTGACATGTTCCCTCCTCGGTCCCTTCACCCTGTTAGGACCGAAAAAATTAGGTATCATACGGAAGCTAGCAAAACAAACTTTGAGCGACGATAAATCATACAACAAAAAAGAAATATACCAAAAGAGACACAAATATTTAACGTGGTTCGGTTAACTGACCTACGTCCACCGCGGAGATGATCAATCCACTATATAAAAAGAGTGTACAAAATATCGAGAGAACAACCTCACAAAGAGGCAAACACAAGTGACACACTAACACTTGTCCTGTAAAGTTCTGCCCCTAAACACTATTGTCAAGCCCCTACGGCTACATTGTGGATGCTACTGAATGAGAAAGATGAATCTTCAATTTATAGAACTCCAAACATTTTCCTACAAGAAAAGGGACTAGCCAAATATGGAAGAATTATATAATTTCCTTCTACAAAAAGGAAAATCCAATTAAGGTAATTATATTACCCTTTTCCTTCAACAAATGGGAAAACCAAATATGGTAAGAAAATTATGACAAACACCTAACACACCCCAACCACAAGAAGAAAATTAAAAAACCTTCTTGGGCTAGGTGCTAAGCATGAAAATTTTCGATTAGTTAATGTGTTTAGAGTTTCATACTGTAAATCAGAGACTTATTATGTTTATAATATAAAAAAAGATGATGCTTAATTAATTGGAGTCAATCATATTACATTGAACATGTACAAATTCTTTATATAGTGAAGGTATAAAACTGTGTACTTTGTAAGCAAATAAATGACACAAATTGATTCAAATCCTGATTAATTTTTTTTTATATATAAAAGAAATAGGCGTTGATTTTTGTTTGATATGCACTTTTTAAAGACTACACAATGAAGGAAAGGTTGACCGAAACAAGAGCGGGAAGCCTTTTAAAACAAAAAGTAAAAGATAAACTTGTACACTGTGAATTTTGTATGCTTCTATGAACATTCCAATTACCCGATAAATAACCAAAAAGCATATGAAAAATACTGTCTCATTGGGACTCCTTTTATTGTCCAAAATCAGCTTTCATACATCCTGAAGGGATAATGTGGGTACAGAACAAAAAGCTGGTGGGAAAAATAATGTACTACGTACTACTACTATACAATTACAGTAAATTAATCTCTCATAGAGCTTGCTAACATAAAGCAGCTTAATTATGACTAAAAGCAAGGGCATAAATTATGAGGCAAGAAGCAAATTCGGTTTAATTACTATGGTATACATTAAGGAAGGATAATTAACATCACCCTCAAATATTTAACCAAAGAAATGAGTATTCTCTGGTAAATTTCCTGCATGGCGTAACCCTAAGGTGAGTGACACATCACCAGAAGTGGTCCCAAATCTTATCATGGTGGATCCCACATCAGCGTTGGTGGTGGTCCCATAATCATCACCGAAGAACTTGCCGCCGCGACGGCATGCCGCGGCGTCGGAGTCATGAATATTGGTCGGGAAAGTTGCTTGGTTTTCCGAGAAGGAAATGTGGGAATTGATTGCAACGAGTGAAGGGTCGTTTTCAGGGGCATTGATTTCGGATCTTTTGCCTAATGTGGATGCTGCTGTTGCTGTTGTGGCAGTGGCAGCTGTTCCTGTCTCTGCTGCTGCTGCAGCTGCTCCTAGTGCTGTCGTAGTTGTGGTCATATTAGTAGAAGAAGAGTTACTCATATTAGGCGTTGGTGTTTGTGCATTATTGCCACTATTTTGGTTTTGGCTATTCTCTCTTTCATCATCTTCCTCCTCTTCTTCTTTGGCTTCTTGTTGATACATCTCTTCTACCATGGGTTTCCACAACCGCACCCTGGCATTTATGAACCAGTTTGATACCTGAAAAAAAAGCACATTCATACACAAAAATAGCCCCATCATTAATTAACTACCATTATGACGTATTTTATTACGCTTTTTTCACTCATTTGTTACATTTCGGGGATATTCCATTTAACTGAGAATTGTTAACAGAAAGAATTCAACAACGTTTGAAAGATACGAGAGGTTACATCAGATTTAATTTCTATATACTGACCACGTAAAAAAATCTTTTACATTATCAGTCACTTAATAGATAATTACAGGTAACATCACATGATTAATGATATTAGTTATATTCTAAAATATAATGCAGATAATTTGCTACAAAATGTCAATTTACACATATAGTGTGAAATTCTCTTATACAATGAATATATATAAGCTCAATCATTTTCAATAAAGAATTTAACTTTTTTCATAATAACGGTGTAAAAGAAGTTTATCATACCATCTTTACTCAGTTCTAGTATACAGACAGTACTAATATACCATATACGCACCATAGAGTTGAATAAACACAATTTTCAGGGAAGAATGAAGTGATGTGAAAGGAGTAAGGAGTGGATACTACTGTTGATTCATCTTTCAGTGTAGAGAGTCAACATGCATGACCATATTTAGTTCCGTGAAATAAAAATTCGCTACCTATCGCATTTAATTAATTGACGTGTGATTGGACTTCATATGCTTTTCCTCTGCACTTACTATTCCTAGATTTTCTTTTTAAATCTAGAATTTATGTCTTTGTAGGAAAGAATCCCTTGGAAAAATAAAAGGCTCTTGCCATGCCCCAATTAGGTTAAAAAAAAAAGGAAGGTGGAGAACCAAAACCAAAATCCATGCAATCACTACAAGTCTAGTGTTATCGTTTGGCGTTTTCGCACAATTAGTATGGGGTTCAATTCCACAGTTCCCTCCCTTTTGCAAAATCCCAAAGTTTTTTAAAAAGAAAAATCCATGCATCCCAAGCTATTAGTAACGTTTTTTTACCGAGTAAAGAAGTAACTTTTAATATCCAAGCCGGTGGCAATGTACAACACAAACAACCTCATTATATCTAATACTACTATCTGTTTATCAGTAATTAATTCGATGTTTACTTCAGTTAAATAAATTACTATATATTTATAACTTGTTTTTGAAACAAAATAAATTATTAAAAAAATAGCTCAGGTCATATGTTGTAACAATTCCTTAATATTGTAGGGATTAACATTAAGTACTTAAATTTCCCCGGAAAAAAACAAAAAATAGCTACTGTAAGGAACAGAATATTTAGATTTAAATTCTAGATCCAGCATATGCATAATAATATGAATAAGAAAACTTGAAAGAGAAAGAAGAGACGATGAGCGAACCTGGTTCCTTGAGAGACCAGTCTGTCTTGCCAACAGATGCTTATCAGCATCGCTTGGATACCTGAGAAAAGTCATGACCCCAAGAAAAAAATAAAAACATCAGACTCATTACCAAAACCGTATAAAGAGATGACTAAACTTTCTTTATCCGTAGATGTGAATTGACACTTTCTTGCTTTCTTTTTCTCTGCATGGGCGTGACAATCCATGAAAAACAGCAATAGCAGCAGCGGTACCTCTCTGCCACTAGTAACAGAAGTAAAGGCAGAAAAAAAAATGCATGCACTCATCTTGTTCATAACATTCATTTTTAGATACAATTTTATTTCTTTTGTCTAGTAGCTCCCCAAGCTGCTTTTATCATTATTATCATTATTATTATTATTATTATTATTATTATTATTATTATTATTATTATTATTTCTATATGCATGTCAGCTTATTGAATAGGTTCTTTTCTTTTCCATCTTCAAAATCATGCCTATGTCAGCAGGAGACAGCACTAGCGCATTGGATCCAGGAGAAAGAGCTAAATTTACTTTATTCATGAAAGGACACTGAATTCGGGTTCCTTTAAAATCAGACACTGCAAGGGAAAGAAAAAGAAAAAAGAAAAGCTATAAAGTGATGTTGGAAATGTGTCTTAGACTAATAAAAGTTGATTGATGGGTGTGAAGCTTCATTTTGTCCCTTCATAATTCCATAATAGGAGTAATAGGGTTTCTACTTTTGTTTATACAGTAAATGTAAGAAGATTCAGATTCCCATCGGTGTTAGGGAGTTAAGACATGGGGATTGAAAAAAAGGTTAGACTTTATTATGGTCAACAGAATTAAGTATAGGAGCACGATGCAGCGGATTAAAAAACTTTAAAACCGAATTTTGACTAACTTATTATAGCACATTACTTATTTCCTAAGTTACTAAATTTACTTTCAATTGACATTATCCTGATGTTATAAAAAAAATTCTACACTATTTTTAAAAATAATAGTCCGTCTCAAGAATTTGTACACTATCAGTTCAACTAAAATTAAGATTAGTAACTTGAAAAGTAGGACATATTACTAGCAATAATAAGTTAAAGTATGCTAAGATAAAACAACCCAATAAAATCTTACAAGTGGGGTTTGAGGTGGGTAAAGTATACGCAAACCTTACCCCTACCCCAAGGGGTAGAGAGGCTGTTTCCGTTAGACTCTCGGTTCAAGGAGATAAAAAAGACAATGTTTCAGTAGTACTGAGATAGTATTAATAATTTGTACACTTTAGTCAATGTATAGAGATTGAATCCAACTCTTAATGTAGGATAGAGTAGAGAGAAAGACGTACGGGTGGAGGAAATGCTCAAAAAGCCAAGCTCTTAAAATGTTGACAGAGCGTTCAGGTAAGCCTCTTTGGGGTCTCCAAGCTTCTTGTTCCATCATTCCCATTTGGTGAAAGGCTCTTTGCTGCCTCAGACTTTGTTCAAGCATCTTAAGCCTTGGAGTTTCTCCTTTAGTCAATCCTGAAGTGCCGGCATCTTTATCTCCCAGCAGTTCACAACTGTGTTTCAATTGTGCTGTTATTGCATCCTTCAAACACCTGAAGTGTCTTGACATAGCCTTCTGTGCAAGTGCTGTGTAAGGAATTGCTGCACCGAAACCCATCACTAGATCAAACGAGTTTACCACCATTTGCATTTGCTCGCAGTAATGATTGTACCTCCTATCTACCTGCTTGCAAATAAAAAAAATTATTATGATACAAAAAGAAGAATACTCTAATTTGTTTAAAAAGTGGATATTAAGCGCTAAAAATATAAAATAATGATAGTCCGGTGCACCAAGCTTCTGCTATGTGCGGGGTCCGGGGAAACAAAGAGAAATCCAAGATCAACACTTCAAATAGTAAGAAGGATCAAATTCCAATTTGGAGTGACTTAAGCGTCTCAAATAATTTTCAATGCGGAGAATTAGATAAGAGCATTAAAAAAAAGAAAGAAAACTAATAGGAGGGGAAAAAAGGTAGAAGCTGGGAAATGATCATTAGACGCTGAAATGAACGTTGATGTGAACTGAAAATATCCTATTTGAGTTATTCCTGCTTTGTCTTGGGTTTCTATCAATACAGCCAACACGTAAATATCAGCGTATTAGTATTTACATAAGCAATTGAAGAAAATCAAAATTAAGGTCAGCTCAAACCAACCACGATGGACTTTTAAGTGTATTCTAATATCATCGCACTTGCTTATTCCTTGTTTGAGGCTTTAGTCTGATGGTAGCTTGCGACCAAATTAATATTAATTACGACAATAATGGAACATATTTCCCTAATACAAACCTATGTTTTCACACTTAATAAGGAAAGTTTCTGATCACTTATTTGTTCTACTCGTCGGAAATTAAATCAAATACGTAGCTTAGTGACCCACCCGTCGAATCACTCCTTAATTAACAAAATACAGATTTCTTAATTAGAATCTACTTAAAACTCAACAAACTCAATCTATGTGAAATGACGAAACCTATTCCCCTAGCCGGCTTAATTTTTAATTTATAAAATATTCCACGAAAAATGCCGTAACTTTCTGTAGATATTTTTCTTTAATTAAGAGACTAAATAAACAACAATGATTGCTTATTGACCCCTAAGAGAGAGAGAGAGAAAGGATACGTGCCTCATCAAGCATAGATAAAAGTTTGACCTTCCTTCTCTGATGTTCAATCCTATCAGCAGCTGACAAAGGAGGCAGATCCTTTGATGAAGACGATGAAGTATTATTGTTACCGCCGCCACCATTAGTGCCGCCACTAGGGTTATTAGAATTAGGGTTAGCGGCTGTTGCTTTGTTATTCTTCTTGAATTTACCCCTCCCAACACTGCAAAATTCTTCCAGTAGTTCTTGGGCTGCTTTAGCATACTTGGAATTTCTCAACACATTCACCACTCCTAAAGAAGAGCCATACCCAACATGGACTTGTTGATGAATGTTTTGGCCTACTACTCCACTGTTACCAATATTCAAATTCTTGTATCGAAATTGTCCAGAAGTAGTAGACCCTCCTCCTCCTTGATTGAAAAATAACATTCCACTTTCTTCGCCCATCCTTAATTCCTCGACCTTGTGCTGTAATGAAGATGATAAAGATAAAGAAAGGCCTTGGCTTTCTACAACATGATTTACTCCAGCTCCGATTTCATTAGGGGTATTGAGACTGGCACTTGCACCTCCATTATTACCCCATGTGAATTGACCAAAAGATCCTTCAGCTGGATTGGGAAACCCTTCTATAGTTGAAGTAGATGATGGATTTGGTAACAACATGTGAAGAGTAGAAGAATTAGTTGAAGGAGGAGGAGGAGGATGAGAAGGAGAAGGTGAAGGTGACCTTGGCTGTGGATTCATAAGAAAAAGTTGCATGGACTCCGCCGCATTAATACCAGCACTTGATATCTGATTGTTATGATTTTTTGCATATCCCAATGGTACTACCATTCCTTGTCGGTTCCCGAACCACTCGTTTCCCATGCCGGCGGGAGGAGGAATCTGCNTGGAATCTGCTGTGGCTGAGACCGTTGATTCGGGTTCGGGTGTCTGTAATTCGGGTTGAATTGGGCCTCCAACAACTCCGATGACGTGCCGGGTGGGAAACTAAACATTTCAGATAACATTCCAGCGGTCTGATCATAAACTGGAAGCCCACTC